CACGTCACAGTGGCTGTGCTTTTAAAGCACTATGACGTGGGAAAATACCCGAGCAAAGCCGAATGCCATACACACACACACATATATATCTAACGAATATATATATTCGTTACAGAAACAGGAATGCAGTGCTCTGTCACTGCCAATCCACTTGCCTCGTGGCCAGCTTTGGGCAAAATAAAAAAAACAGTAACACACACACAAAAAAAAACCCCAACCCAACAAAATGAGAACAAAAACAATGAACCAAACTTCACTTTCCATAGAAAAGAAAAAAAAAAAGAAAAAAAAGAAGAGAGAACCTTTTAGAGCAAGCTGCATAAATATTTACAATTTGCAGTTTTCTATGTACAAGTCGTGTTTCTATCATACAACTCACTATGCACAGTTTGGTTGTACAAAAGATAGATATTTCCCTCCCACCCCCCCCCCCCCCCCCCCCCCCGCGGTCCCTTGTACAGTTCAAACAATAACATTGCTCTTCGTTGTCTTCTTTTGTGTGGGTGTGTGTTTGTACAAATGGCAAAGCGGAGGACACTTCAAACTTTAATAGGTTAACATAGCTTCCTTTCCCCCTCCCCGCTTCCCTCTCTCCCGATTGCACAATTTGTTTGTTTTTTATTTTTATTTTTTGAAAAAAAGGTGATCGCAAACAGCACGGTTAAAAACCTATCGTATGCCACTAAAACAGACGTCAATGTTGCAATGTGCAGAGAGCAGGACTTTTCTCTGAAGCAGACAGCGCTTGGCGTTCAACCAGGCGCGGAGCTAACGGTCAGCAGAGATGGTGTGGAGTTGTGGGTTGTTGTTTTGGTTTTGGTGGGTGGTTTTTTTAACCAAGATCGATTTGGCACGCAAACATGCGCGTGTGAGTAGATGAAGATTCTCAGCCAACCCGATACAGGTAGAGTTGGCTGGAAGTTGAGTCAGGACAACTGGACTTCCTCTCCTTTTTGGCTTGAAATGTTTTGCTGTTAATCGAAGTAGAGGAGGAGAGAAAGAAAGGAGAAGGAGGGACGGGGGGGAAGAAGAAAAAGAGGGAAGAAGACAAGAGAGGAAAGGGAGAAGGAAGGAGGAGAAGGAAGGAAGAGGAGGTGAAGAAAGGAGAGGGAGAAGGAAGGGGAGGGAGGAGGAAGAGGAGGAGAAGAAGGAAGGAAGGAAGGAAGGAAGGAAAGAAAGAAAGAAAGAAAGAAAGAAAGAAAGAAAGAAAGAAAGAAAGAAAGAAAGAAAGAAAGAAAAGGAAAAAAGAAACTTGGAGAAGCAGTGAAACATTTCAAACCCCAAAGAGAACAAATCCAGCTGGCATGACTCAGCTGCCCTCGAGCCGCATGCCAGGCCACCGATTCAGGGACCCCCCCAAAGGTGGGGGTCATTGCATTTCTACTACAGTACATGCAAACACACAAACACAGTAGGTAGCCAGAGAATCCAAGAGATCGTGCCTGCCTTTGTACACCCACAAATACACAGAAAGAAATACAATGCAGAAATCGCCTTTTGAAAAGGAAGGTTTTTTTGATTTGGATCAAAAAAAAATCCCTTCCTGGAATGTACTGTTTGCAAACTCCGGCAAGGTCTCTGTGTTGTGTTCCAGTGGCATTTGTGTGTAGGTGTGTGGTCCAACGCAAGCTAGGGCAGGGGTCTCCAACTTTAGCAACTTTTCTGAACTTCCATTCCCCAAATGTTGGCCTAGGAATTCTGGGAGTTGGAAGTCCACAAGTCCATAAAGTTGCCAGGTTGGAGGCCCCCTCGGCTAGAGTGAAGCGTGATTTCAGCCCGGTTGAATAACCGTCGAGTTACCTTCTCGGCAACGAAGACATCCTAAGCTGAACTAAGAAGCTGGGGTTGAAGGAGGAGGAGGAGGCGATGCTACGGGTAGGAAATCGACAAAACCGTAGGAAGGTCTGAAAAGCAAAGCGGGGTGAAGTTTTGGGAAGAAGAGACAGGTTGAAGCAAAGGGCTTAGCCCTTATCCATCTGCACCATGTCCGTCTTCTATGAACCTCAGGTAGGTGTGGCGCTACCCACGCAGTGCCAGATAACCCGGCATCTTTGAAAAGTCTACATCTTCAACCACAGTTGGACAAGGTAACGCTAGAAGCAAAGCATTGTGAGTGCTCCACTCTTGGCGAGTTGAAGGACATCAACTTGCATTTATGCCGGGTTCAAAAAAGCCATTTGGCCCTGAATTTGTGAGCCAACTTGGATGTGGGAAGAGCCCAGCGTTGACCAAAAAATAATAATGGCAAGCCACTTTTTATGGCTGCGCTCAAGAAGAAAATGAGAAAGATTTAACTTCTTGGAACTGACCTCGTGGGGATTCAAACCCACTGGAAAGATCAGATCAGGAGATGTTTCGATGAAACAAAAATCAAGGGTGGCTGGTCGATCGTGACATTTCCTCAAGGAGCTTCAATGATTGAGGATGAGTAAAGATTTGGCTTTGACCGATTGGAGGAGTTAAAAGAAAAAAAAATCCGACTAAAGAATGGAAAATAGGAATTGCAGGATTCTTTATTCTGGGTAAAAAAAAAACAAGCTAGTTTGCAACTGTCAAGTTTTTTTTTTGACTTTTTCTTTCTCATAGCACAGACGAGGAGACAAGATAATGGTTTGAAGATCACGTGTCCCCGAAGGAGTTTTTGGGATGACAAAACTGAGATTCCAAAGGCAAAAAACTGATTGCGGAGCTGTTCTGACCTAGGCTTTACAAAATCCTGAAGCAGATTCCTCGTCCTGACATTATTTAGGCTAATGTGAATTCCTCTCATTCACACCCAGCAAACAGTCTTTCAAGAGTGATTTACAACCACAGACCTTTTATCAGGCTTGGAGAATTGCACAACACTGTACAAGGAAATACTTGGCAAGGGGCTTCTGTGAGTCACAAATTGTAAATGAACTAATTGCCTCCTGCAAAGAGCCCCACTCCCCTTTCACTCCTCTTTATTCCCTATGGGAAGGGCCATTCATCATCCACCTAGGCCTTTACTCCCAAGGTGGCCCTTGTTCCTTAACCGTTCCCTTCTCCTGGCAGGTCAGTGCATACGCACATTGGGAACAGGCTCCAGCTGTTCTTCTGCCCCACTGATCTCCGGCTCTGAGGACAGCTGATACTGTCTGACGGCCCTGGCCCCACCTCTGCCTCCGACGCAGAGCAGCCTTCTCCAGACTCCAGGACTGGCCCGTGTTCCTCCCCAACCTCCTCACTGTCCGAGTCTGCCACCAGCACCGCTGGCTGCTGGCGAGCCACAACAGGAGCCTCCACTGTCATCACTCTTCTCAACAACTTCTAGGCACATGTGGCAAGTTATGTTTTTGATCTAAAATAGCTTGGCCTCCTTCCCAGCTACAACACTCAAAAGCAAGATGGGTAGATTGGCGGTTTTCAAAATGAGGCAACGGGTGGATGCGCAAAGTTTTGACAGGCTGGGTGTATGTCCCTTCTCTTCTACAATTAGTTTTATTAGCTTGCCTACCGGTGGTCCTTGTAACCTTTGTGTCTATGAGCCAGCTATCATTGAGGCCAAGAATAAACAACCTGGGAACTCACCAGGTACAACAAAGAACCTCACCTCCTTTGTAAGGTAACACCTGGACAGACATTGACTGGATTTGAATCTGTTTAAGGCAGATGCATGATCTTACTATGTGGAAAACTGGGCATGTGGAATGTACGTGGAGCATGCTTAATATTTCCTGTCCAGAAAGAATATTGAGGTTCTTCAAAGAAGGAAGCTGAAAAAGGCTTTTTAAGACATAAGCAGAGAACCATGGCATCTGACAACTACCTGGATAGCTTCTAAATGCCAACTCTTGTAAGCTTGATTTTCTTTGTTCCTTGTGAGATCTGGCGGTATTTGCTATCGAAGGACTTAGCAAAATCCAGCCTTGTCACAAGTAGTTTTTTGGGTTCCATTTTAACAGAGGCTGCACTGTGCTTGAAATCTAGAAGTTATTCCCCACATAAAACTTGTCTTATCACCAGAACATCCTTCCATGTCTGTGCTAAGGCATCTTTGATTGCAGGTCCTTCATTGTCAAGACTTAACTGGGGGCGGGGAAAGTGAGGACCATCCTTAGCCCCACTTAGCCAAATCCTTCAGCCTCAGAAATTCAGAAGTCTTAACAGACAGATTCCTCTTAATTCCGCCCCCTTCCCCCGAATCTTTTCTGAGCTTTGTTTTACATAAGCCAGTTTTGCAAACATTTAATAATGCATGCCGGAGTTTAATATACTGTAACAAGCAGCTGCATCAATAAGGAGAAAATGAAGAGGATGAGTTAGAAGTAAAATGGTTGGGAAAGCAAACTTCACTTGTAGAAACAAATTTAAACCAACCGGGCGACATCAACGGTGTGATAATGTCCTTTTTCAGCTATGCCAATATGGCTCTTGTCTGCTCCAGAAAAGACTCAACTCTCTGGGATTCTTGGCCTCAAGAATTCAGTCTAGGGCAGAATTTCTCAATCTTAACAACTTTTAAGAAACATGGACTTCCAACATGGCTGGCTGGGGAATTCTGGGAGCTGAAGTCAACACAACTTCAAGTCATACAAGGTTGAGATTCACTGTTTGCGGGTATAAAAGGGAAAGGAAAGGAAGAAAAACAGATGGCAAAACGAGAATATTCACTTTGAATTATAGTCATGGTGGTTTGTGTGAGTTAAAAGTGGGGGAAGGGACCCTCTCATCGCACCCCTGCCCCAATTGAATAAGCACATTGCCTAGGGATCAGAAAACTACCTATTTCAACTTTCCTGCAAGTTCTCTTATTCTTCTCAACAGAGACAATTTTATTTTTGAAAAATATGATGGTCTGCCTTGCTTTACAGGTGATAAAAGGCTCTGGAAATGATATGTGTGAATGTGTATCTGTGTGTGTTTGTATGCGTTTGTCTGCATTAATATATATATATATTTATATATATATTCACATTTCTTTTTTTAATGAAAGAGCTATGTTAATATATTCTACTGAATTACAGAACCATTTTGCTAAATCATGGTTTCCCTCTTGACATTTCCATACAATGGACAAACAGCTCAAATATCTCGCACGCCAACATAGAAACCCTCTTTTGTACAAGAGTAGCGACCAAAAAAAAGCAGCATATAACACTGTTTTAGAGTCCTTCCTCGCCCCACAAAACCGAGAATTAAAAATAACCCTCTGAAATAATCTGGCATCATTTCCCCTCCCCCCCCCCCCCCGCCCCAAATGTAACAAAAATATACCCTGTGTTCATCAGTGTTTCTCAAATCTCAGGCCGTTGAAGATGGGTGGACTTCAACTCCCAGAATTCCCCAGCCCAGGGGAATTCTGGGAGTTGAAGTCCGCCCGCCTTAAAGGGGGCCAGGGTGGAGAAACACTGCTATAAGATGATACCCAAAGAAGCGTTTTGAGAGTTTGGTGCCATTTCCACAGCGGCCTCTTGTGCTCTCCATCCCTAGTCAACCCCCTAACGTCTAGAGGAATCATCTCTTGACGGATATTCCAATTTCTTCTCCCCGCTGTCCCAAACAACCTGCTCTCTTCTGGTTTTCTGTCCATTTCTGCACCCCAAGTTCCGGCTACCTGCTTCTGACGTGTTCGAAGTTCAGCCTTCAGGGGCACAGAACAAGAACTACACCCCTACCCTCCTGCTTCAAATGACCAGCAACGAGATCTCTAATTCATTGGGTCGCCCCGAGTCATCTTCTCTAGATGGCCCACAACTCCACAGCTCCACCACGGCGGTCCCTCATTAGGCTAAGACAAGGAGATACAGGGAAAAGGGGCTGGATGATCTGGGTTTCAAGTATCAGGTGAGCAGCCCGTCTCAAGGAGGTACTTGGGACCAATACCGGAAAGTGACCCTCGCCAAGAGTTGACCAAGCCCAACACTCTTCCTTCACCCTCTTTCCTCTGCTGGGCTGAAGGACAAAGCGGATGCAGGAGATGAAAAAGCTCCTTGAGTGTTGGTAGACTTGGCCATCTCAAACCCCCTCCCCTCTTGGCCCTCATCCCAAATGGACTTGGGTGGTGGGTTCCATTTCCTGGTTGGTTTTTAAGGCTTTAAAACCTATTCGCTTTCTTTTGTTGTGGTGGTTTTTTTTTTTTTAATATACCCTCTTTCCAGGTGTCGTAAAAAAATTAAACAAAAAGGCTCCCCCACCCCCACCCCAAGACAGCTCTGGCGAGCTGGTCTGAAGGAGACGAGCTCCCAGAATCCCCCCAGCCCTGACCCGTTCCATCGCCGCCACATCCATCTGTCCATGGGCCTTCCCGTCGCGGCCTTCTTTCTTCTCATTCACTGTCCGAGAGGGTCTCGTACTGTGAAACCAATAGAGGTTTGGGCTCTTCTTCCCAGCCGTGGTTCTGGGTACCGGAGTTTCCCTGCAGAACGGTGGCAGTGGGCGGTGGAGGGCCGGTCACGACTCCCGTGGAAAGTCTCACCGTCAGGGGGTTGTATGGAAACGGCGTTGAGCCTGCAGGACAGACGAAAAGGAAGGTGGAAGAAGGGTGTTGAGGGAGCCTCCTCCAAGAATTGGGAAGAAAGTAACATTGGTGTGCAAGACAACCCAACCCACCTCTCCTTTCGCACTTCCTCACACTCACAGGGTTCACACTGGGAGCTCCCCCTTTTGAGAAGATCTATCTACAGACCCCTCACATCCTGGACATAAACTGTTGCAACTCCTTCCCTCAAAACGACGCTATAGAGCCCTGCACACCAGAACAATTAGACACAAGGACAGTTTTTTTCCTGAATGCCATCACTCTGCTACACAAATAATTCCCTCAACACTGTCCAACTATTTACAAAGTCTGCACTATTATTGCTATTAATCTTCTCATCACTCCTTATCACCCATCCCCTCCCACTTGTGACTATATGACTAACTTTGTTGCTTGTATCCTTACGAATTATATTGACTGTTTCCTAGTATGATTTGATGGCTTATTGTACCCCATGACTATCATTAAATATCGTACATTATGATTCTTGACGAATGTATATTTTCTTTTATGTACACTGAGAGCATTTGCTCCAAGACAAATTCCTTGTGTGTCCAATCACACTTGGCCAATAAAGAATTCTATCTATCTATCTATCTATCTATCTATCTATCTATCTATCTATCTATCTATCATCTTTTTAAACATTTATTTTATTTTACAACAAATCCCTCACAGTGTGTCGACAGTACATATATCTTGTGCAAATGTTTATATTTAGTATACATTTCTTGTTATGATTACGTTCATATGAAAAACCACTCAACCTTATGTATCCTATCATTTTAACAATCTGAATGCATTTTACCATTATATTCATTTAGCTTCTTACTTTGTTTTCCAACCATTTATAGAATAAATCCCATATCATATAATAGTCCACTTCTTCTTGTTCTTTACTTGTCAATGTTAATCTATTCATTTCTATACATTCCAATATTTTCTTAATCACCTCCTCCTCTATCGGAATCTTTTCATTTTTCCAATTTTGAGCAAGTAACAATTCTAGCTGCTGTTAATATACGTATGATTGAATATGTTTTTTCTTTACTATAGTTTTCAGATAAAATCCCCAACAAAAATATCTCAGGTTTTAAGTGTTGTTTTATCATCTTTTCCAACTTTTGAGAAGATCTTCTCCGGTGAAAGAACTGGGATTATCTCCCTCAGCACCACAGAATTCCATCTACGAGGGAATTTATAACTCTTGGAAAGTCTAGGGAGATATTCCGTCATCCAAGTCATGGTTGTCCCAAAGGTTTTCTTCTTCCAGGAGGCAACTGGACTTCCTGGTTTTCCTTAGAAGACCTTTCACTTCTCACTCCTTCAGCTCCCCACCATCCAAGCTGAAGAAGCTTCTTGGATGAAGAAGCAAACGCCTTCAGAGAAAAACAAGGAAGTCCAGGTCCCTCCTGAAAAAAAGAAAAAGAACCTTTGAGACAACTCTTGGAAATGGAGAGAAGAAAAGGGCTTCTTCTTATGAAGTCTCTGGCTCAATCTGGAATATTCTCAGAGGAAGACATCCCAGATGAAGCTCTAGAGAAGTAGCCAGGGCGCCCAAGATCGGACAAACCATGTCAAGGCCCAAATTCTCAGACACCAATTTGATGGTCATCATTCATACTCTCACACCTGGGATTCACTGACCTCTAATAAGATGGCACCATGCATAAATGGTGTAAGAAATGAAATTCCAATGCTATCACCTGGAAAAATATCATCTAGGGTTGGTTTATTGGTTTGTAATCTACCCTTCCTTGAGCAGCACAAAAGAGAGTAGAAACCCCTTCCTCTTTTTCTGAGGAACAACCCTGGGATCTAAGCTGACCTGAGAGAGTGTGACGAGAACTTCCACAATGAGGAAGAAAGAAAGTCCAGTGTCGTCGGGGCTAGATCAACATCTTCATACTCGCATCAGCCTACCTTCTGAAGATCATCTGCTGCCCTGCTTCCTCATGCCACTATGGAATGAGACATCTCATGTCTTCCAAAGCTTTCCTTCAACATCCCCATGTAGGATTTAGTTGGACCAAAACAGAAGACCCATAGTCGCTTGAGGACTTCTGTAGCTACAGTGATTGAACCCCAAGTCTCCTCATTCCAGGTCCAATCCTTCCAACAGCTCCACCTTGATGGTCCTCTTATTATTTGGGCCACCTTCTACTCTGCTATGACTATCATGCATTTCCCAGCCAAAGGTCTGTGTGGTTGCCTGCTCAATGCATTTATCTCCAACTCCTTGTAGAAGAGCAGGCAGGGCTGGGAGGTGGACTTAAATGAATCATCAGTCTAGAATCGTTACAGTGCCACAAACGGTCTAAGCCCAACCCTTCCAGAATATCTCATTGATCCTTATCGAGTGCCAATTTAGCGGTGAACTTTAGTTGGACCAGATTCTTGCGCATGGGCTTGAACACGCCACTGTCGACTCATAAAATATTTCTATGGTCTTTTTTAGAGTTGCAACAGAAAAGGGAGGAGGGAAAGAGGTTTGAAAGAGCAGTGCGGCAGCTTGGAAATCGAAAGTGCATTCCACAAATAGTTTTCAAAGATAGTAACCAGGTGACTGAAGTTTTTGCCAGGCAAAATTCTAACTGGAGAGCATGATTGATGACTCTTGGCTATGGATGTGTCCCATTGGAGAATATGAATTATGATATACCCAGGGGGTGGGGGAAAAAACAGGGTTAAGGGTGACGGTGAATTAAGTGTCTCAGAGTCGGCTCCACCCAGGCAGTGCCGGCATGTTAACTCCCAATAAATCCTTTTGAAGTTTTGGAAGTTTGACTCGAAATTCATGATTTAAATGGGGGTCACTGCCGGAATCCTGACAGCCACAATCTAACCGGTGGTGCCCGAATCTCTGCGCCTGACACTCCTGGGAACTGCAAACCTGTGGTCAAAGGATGTGCGAATACCTGTGGATGATGGCCTGTCCTCCCAAACCCGGTTGGTTAGAGGTGTCCTCCTGTTACAGTCCCCGTCGGAGTGAACGGACGAAGCGGATGGTGGCCTCTCAATGGTGGAGGACAGGCCGGGTGCTGGAGATCTGGCCTTCCGACTGTTAGCGCGGGCGGCAGCCTTTGGTTTCCCCCCTCCTGTGGGGGGAAAAAAAGAAAATGTTTTTCAAACTCCCAGGAGAAAGCCAATGCTATGTCAGGGGTGTCAAACTCAAGGCCTGGTGGCCACATCCGGCCCATGGTATGCTTAGATCTGGCCTGCGGGGCCACTAGGGAAATAGCGAAGGACCGGTCCGCAGTCCTCCGGAGCTCCGTTTTTGCTGGCAGAGGGTTTCAGGACACAGTCGCAGCCGAAAACGGAGTTCAGGAGCCCGTTTTGGCTGGCAATGTGCTTAGGCCACCAAAGGTGTGGGCCCTCCCCCCGGCACGAGTGACGTTGAGTTGGCCACGCCCCCCCTCCCGAGGTCAAACACAACCCTGATGTGACCCTCAATGAAATAGAGTTTGACACCCCTGCACTACGTCAAACCATTGGAAAGGTTTGGTGCCCTCCCAACGCATCTTCCCAGGGACTTGATAAACAATGGAACACCGAGGCTTAGCAAGTAGCAGGAAAAGAGAGAAAAAGAAAGAAAGAGAGAGAGAGAGAGAGAGAGAGAGAGAGAGAGAGAAAGGGTTGAGAAACAATAGAAACACCTCCCCCTGTTTCACCCCAATGACAGGTAGTCCTTGACTCACGACCACAAGCGAGCCCAATATTTCTGTTGTTAAACGAGACATTTGTTGAGTTTTGCCCTGCTTTGCGACCTTTCTACGCTGTTGTTGTTAAGTGGACTGCTGCCATTGGTAAGCTAGTCACCTGGTCGTTAAGCGAATCTGGCTTCCCCGTGGACTTGTCAGAAGGTCACAAAAGGGGACCACGTGGCCCCAGGGACACAGCAACAGTCATAAATAGGAACCCATTGGCAAGCGCCTGAATTTTGATCGTGGGAAATGCACCACGTGAAACATGGCAGTAAGTCATATTTTTCAGTGCCGTGGTCACTTTGAATGGTTGCTAAATGAACTGTTATAAGTCGAGGACTACTGTATTAACTCCAAAGTTTGTCAAGGATCACAGGAGTAGATTTTGTGTGTGTGTGTGTGTGTGTGTGTGTGTGTGTATGTAAATGGGGTCTTTTCTTTTTGCCATTGTTGTGAAGTGAGAGAGAAGTACATGTAATCCTTGACTTACGGCCACAACTGAGCCCAATTCCCATTGCTAAGTGAGACAGTGGTGAATTTTGCCCCGTTTTACAACCTTCCTTGCCACGGTTGTTAAGTGGATCACGGCAGTATTTGTTCAGTTAGCAACATGGTTGTTAAACGAATCAGGCTTCCGGAAGCGTGGACTTTTCCTTGCCAGGAGGTCGCAAAAAGAGATCGCATGACCCACCGCCCCCCGGGAGAATGCAACCGTCGTTAGTACACACACCAGTTGCCAAGTGTCCAAATTCTGATCACATGACCATGGAGTGACTCCACAACGGTTTCTAAGTGTGAAAAACAGTCCTAAGTCCCATTTTTCAGTTCCGTTGCAACTTTGAATGGTTGTGAGTCAAGGACTATCTGTACCCTTTACCCTCCGTGACCAAGGGGGTGGCGGCATTTCTGTCCCCAATCCTGAGGCTGCCTGAGGGTGTGAACCCCAGCGTACTGCCCTGACTCCCCAACGCTTCTAACCACCAAGTCCAAGAGACTGGACTGCCCTCTGTTACAAATGGTACAGGGCAGTGATGGCGAACCTTTTTGTTGTGGTGTGCCAAAAGCACATGCCTGCCAGCACCCACAATGCAATGCGCCCCACCCCGTATATGCGTGCGCAACACCCGTCACCTTATCTGCGCATGCGTGCGCCTCCCAGCTGATTTTTGGCCTGTTTGAGGTCATTGTCGCTCTCCCTGAGGCTCGAGGGAAGCTTCTGCAGCCTCAGGAGGCCGAAAAACAGGCCTTTTGGAAATACCAGAAGTGCCTGTTTTCAGCCTCCTGAGGGCCTCTGGAGTCCAGGGGAGGCCGTTTTCACCCTTCCGGAGGCTCGAGAGAAGCCTCTGGAGCCTTGGGAGGCTGAAAAACAGGCCCGTTTCGGCACTTCCGGTATTTCTGGAAGGCCCGTTT